TGTAAATATCTTTCGAGATCTGAGTTCCTGGCTGGTTCTGGTCCTCCACAGTCCTCTCCATCAGCTTCTGTTTCCATGTGTTCAGCTGAGCTGCTGGCTGGAGGCTCTGCCTCTCTGTTCTCCTCAGTTTGAGTTTGATGAAGCTGTGAGGACTGACGACCAACACACTTATGTCTTTTGACATAATGACTCCAGGTAAATCTTTTGTCACAAACACTGCAGCTGTATGGTTTCTCTCCTGTGTGGATTCTAATGTGGTCCTTTAAACTTCCTCTCACGGCAAAAGATTTCTTACAAATTGAGCAGCTGAATGGTTTCTCTCGTGTATGGATACTCACGTTGTCTTTTACATTTCCTTTCCGTCCAACCCTGTTCTCACACAAAGAGCAGCCAAATGGTTTCTCTCCTGCACTACGTCTTGAATCACAGACAGGGTATTTTTTAGGTTTCTGATAGTTTGAACCTGGTTCTCTGGTCTCCTTCCAATCAGCCCTGTCTTCAGTGTAAGTGTCAGTAGAATCTGCAGTGTCAGTTTCAGAAGAGTCTTCATTGTCAGTTTCAGAAGAGTCGTCAGGTTCAGAAGAGTCTTCATTGTCAGTTTCAGAAGAGTCTCCAGGGTTGTCTTCAGTCTCTGGTTGTAAATGTCTCTCTGGATCTGAGTTCCTGGCTGGTTCTGGTCCTCCACAGTCCTCTCCATCAGCTTCTGTTTCCATGTGTTCAGCTGAGCTGCTGCCTGGAGGCTCTGCCTCTCTGTTCTCCTCAGTTTGAATTTGATGAGGCTGTGACGACTGACGACTACCACACTTATGTATTTTGACCGAACGACTCCGGGTGAATCTTTTGTCACAAACACTGCAGCTGAATGGTTTCTCTCCTGTGTGGATTCTCATGTGCCGATTTAAATGTCCTCTCTGTGCAAAAGATTTCTCACAGACTGAGCAGCTGAATGGTTTCGCTCCTGTGTGGATTCTCATGTGCCGATTTAAATTTCCTCTCTGTGTAAACGTTTTCTCACACGAAGAGCAGCTGAATGTTTTCTCTCCTGCACTACGTCTTGATTCACTGAAAGGGTCTTGTTTATTTCTCTGAGAGTTTGAACCTGGTTCTCTGGTCTTCTTCCAATCAGCACTGTCTTCAGTGTCAGGTTCAGAAGAGTCTCCAGGGTTGTCCTCAGTCTCTGGTTGTAAATGTCTCTCTGGATCTGAGTTCCTGGCTGGTTCTGGTCCTCCACAGTCCTCTCCATCAGCTTCTGTTTCCAGCAGAGGTGGGAGTAAGTCTTACATGTGCAAGTCATGAGCAAGTCTCAAGTCTTGACCTACAAGTATCAAGCAAGTCCCAAGTCACTGTGGTGAGAGTCAAGCAAGTCAAGTCAAGTCATTGCTCAGGTCAAGTCAAGCAAGTCAAGTCAAGTCAAGTCATACGAAATTCTGATGAATAAGCCCAGTTTCCGCATTTAAATCAGTTAAAAGACAGTGGTTATGAAAATGGATGTAACCCACACTATGATCTTCATTACATACACAGTTAATCATTTGAAATCTAATTTAGACCGATGACAATCATATTAGATTCATATTAACCCTAGAACTGCAGACAATATAGCTAGGACTCAGTCAGTCTGTTCAAAAAGGCAGAATTCCAGGTAAGAAAATCATATATGGCATTTGCCATTACACATATTTAATTTAAATGTCTGTAAACACTAGAACCGCCAACAGCGTCAGCACCTACAGAGATATCATTTTAAAATCATTTAATTTGTTCCTCTTCATCATTTCCTTATAAACTAAGTAGGACGATTTAAAACTCACTTAATTGGGTTAATTTAGAAATTGCTTCAGTTTATCATCATAACAGATTAAAAAGTTCAGATTCATTTTACAATAAATCAAGGAATGATGCACTTCTACAAACAACAACATCATAATTAAAACATTTAAACAAACTACTAAAAGTAGATGAACTACATTATTCAACAGTTTACAGAAACTTCTGATAACACAGGGGAAATATCTCTCTCTCTCTTAGAGAGAGAGAGAGAGAGAGAGAGAAGAGAGTAGAGAGAGGGAGAGAGAGAGAGAGCAGAGAAGAGAGAGAGAGAGAGAGAGAGAGGAGAGAGCGAGAGCGAGAGAGAGAGAGAGAGAGAGAGAGAGAGAGAGAGAGAGAACTAGAGAGAGAGAGAGAGAGAGAGAGAGAGAGAGGAGAGAGAGGAGAGAGAGAGACGAGAGCTCTCTCTCTCTCTCTCTCTCTCTCTCTCTCTCTCTCTCTCTCTCTCTATCTCTCTCTCTCTCTCTCTCTCTCTCTCTCTCTCTCTCTCTCTCTCTCTCTCTCTCTCTCTCTCTCTCTCTCTCTCTCTTCTCTCTCTCTCTCTCCTGACAGCCCGTCAGTATCAGGGTTAGTCAAAATGAATCCCTGGCGGTTCTAGTGTTCATTTACCGTTTTGTCTTCTCTTTGCAATGCTTAATCGATTTGAAACCAAGTCTAACGTAGCTTAAACTTAACGTTAGCTTTCTAGCTAACACAACACATTCACGCACCTTTCTCTGTGGGTTTTTTGTAGTGACGAATGAAGTTGGATGTTGTGGTGGTCGTGTCACTGATCTTTATGCTGCAGACCCTGCATACCGCTGTTCTCTTCTTATTAGCGTCATCGACAACATAATCCTTGAATCCAAACTTCACTATTTTTGGAGTAACGCTAGCCGCTGCCATGTTAACTGCACTCCTGCCGTCTAGTGGGTTGCCAGGTTTGCGCGCATGGCGCTATAATCACCCAATCACGTTTTTCGAAAAAACTAAACGTAATATCTCACTACAAAAACAAACGCAAATATTTAATTTTAAACAGTCAAGTCCTTTCAAGTCATCTGTCTCAAGCTTAAGTCAAGTCTCAAGTCATGAATACCAAGTCAAAGTCAAGTCAAGTCTTTTATCAATGTTAGTCAAGCAAGTCTCAAGTCAAAAAATATGCGACTCGAGTCTGACTCGAGTCAAGTCATGTGACTCGAGTCCCCACCTCTGGTTTCCAGGTGTTCAGTTTGTCTTTGATGAAGCTGAGAGGACTGAGGTTTCTCTTCATCATCTTCACTCTTCACAGGGACAGGAGTGAATGTGGACTTGGTGATATCAGCCTCCTCCAGCCCTTGAAGCTGCTCTCCCTCCTGACTGATCCAGAGTTCCTCCTGTTCCTCTTTAATGTGTGGGGGGGGCTCTGGGTCCTCCTGGTCCAGACTGGAGCTCCACTCCTGCTGCTCAGGGGGAACCTCTTCTTTAACCACCACCAGCTGCTGGACGTCTGCAGGAAACAGGAAACACACAGAGAGACGTTACAGAGAACAGCTGTTGTGTTCATTACGTCACCGCTCACAACAACTATCGCAGAGAAAGGTAAGTGTAATTATAATTTGAGCGGTTTTGTACCCCTAAAATCACATGTGGATACAGCTTGGGACTAGTGTTAATTTCGTCAGCTATTTTTTAATTTAGTTTTAGTCCTGTGTTAAATTTCCTTTTTAGTTTTAGTCATATTTAGTCACCTTCATCCTGTTTTTATTTAGTCAAGATTTAGTCGACTAAAAGTCTGAGCATTTTAGTCTTATTTTAGTCAAAGAAAACTAATTATTTTAGTCTACTTTTTGTCAATGAAAACTGTTGAGTCTTTTTTAGTCATCAGATTATATAGAACATTTCAGTCAAACTAGTCTAGCCATTCATAGTCAAATTTATTTCACAATAAGATGATATCTTGTCCTTATTTGATGAAAAGCACAGGTTGAATGATTAAGAAAGCAGCTTTGCAGAGAGTGGTCAGGTTTGTGGTGTTACCAGCTGTGTTATGGCCACATTGCTTCCCTTCTGATAAAACAATGCATTCGCTTTTTTTCTCAGCCTCATTTTAGCGAAAATGGGCCCAAATATCACATCGTTTCTTTCTCCCAAGCAGTGGTGGTGTTAGACTTTTTCGTTGTTAGTCATTTTGACAGACAGGATCGTAACATTTCCGTCATAATCCATTATTACCCGTCGAGTGCACAATATATCACTCACTCGCGCTGACGGGGGGGTATTCGGTTAACGCGACCACTGCTCCCAAGCCCTGTTGTTGCCATTTTATTTTCTGTTGAATAAGGTTAGTTAGACCATGAGTTAGACCCGAGTCTTCCTGACAGTTCACAGTGTGCCGCTGCCCGGTGTAATTCAAATGTACCGCCGTGCGCAGCACAGACACACAGCTGCTGCCCAGCCGCAGCACCGGAGATGGAACTGCTGGGAGAACAACTGACTATCAGAGATGTAACGTTATCTTTGATAATATTTAGTCTCCTCATTTTTCGTCAACGAAAGTAAAGAGAGATTTTGGCATAGTTTTTATTTAGTAAACTACATTTTCGTCTCACTTTTCGTAAACGATATTGCATGTTGATTTCGTCACAGTTATTGTTTACTGCCGTCGGTGCCGTCTCGTCATCGTCTCGTTTTCGTCATGGAAAAAAAGGTCGTTGACGAACATATTTCGTCATAGTTTCAGTCAACGAAATTAACACTATTTGGGACCCGGATTGCCTTTTGTGTTTTTAAGGCAGCTCTAAATAGAGATATGAATGATTTAGAAGAGTAACTAGAGCGGTCAGTCAAATGAAGTGCAGTCATGGCCTTACCCCCCATTGAACTCAACGAGGTCCGGCCCTCTGTATTTTTTCTGAGGTGTAATAAAATAAAACACTGAAATGAACAGGGCTCTATTAGACTAAGTCGTTCCTTACTTACACTGCAGAGCTACAAGTTGGTTTCACTTGAGTGAATAAACGAGCAACATAGCTAAAGTTAATTACATTCATCAAATGTCTTGACATTAAAGTTTTCACCCTTACACGTCCAGATAAAAAAATGATTGCAAGGTTTTACTGACTCTCATGCATAACAACTTAACATATCATGTATGCTGCTGCCCTCCAGAGGGAGCTTTATAGGTTTTGGAAGATTGCTCATTCAATGTGATCTGATCTTCATGTAAGTCACACTTATAGACAATCACAATCCGCTTCATCTTGTAGAACACACATGTATTCGTGTCCATTTTGATTAAATCACTAAAAGTATGTGACCTCCTAGAATTGAACAAAAACTAATTGAGTCAGGAGTTAAAACACTTTGTTTTAATCGGTGAAACACGATAAGTGCTGCTCCAGCGTTAACTTATAAAAATCCTTCAAACATTTGTATTTTCTATTCACAAGTTTTAACTTCTGATGTGAACCATGCCTCGCAAAAAAAAGATATCGGAAGACCTACGAGGAAGACATTTAGATTTCACCAAAAGTTAGGGATGCACCGATAGGAGTACGAGTACATGAGGACAGCATCGGCCTGATACCCGTTAATGGGATCGGTATCGTTGCATCCCTAATAAAACACAGAGGGTTACAAATTAATATCAAAGAGTTGAGATATTGATGAAGATGCAGGTTATGTATAATGGGTTACAGGGTTAACCCTTGGTTGTGCAGCCTGATGGCTACAGGCGCAAAAGATTGTCCGAGAAGCTTAGTGCTGTGCCGAGGAGGGATGAGTCTGAGGCTCCTCATCTTCACCAGCTCTGCATGGAGGGATGAGTCTGAGGCTCCTCATCTTCACCAGCTCTGCATGGAGGGATGAGTCTGAGGCTCCTCATCTTCACCAGCTCTGCATGGAGGGATGAGTCTGAGGCTCCTCATCTTCACCAGCTCTGCATGGAGGGATGAGTCTGAGGCTCCTCATCTTCACCAGCTCTGCATGGAGGGATGAGTCTGAGGCTCCTCATCTTCACCAGCTCTGCATGGAGAAGTTAGCGCTAACATCATTGTTTTTAAATCTGAAGGACAAAATCTGAGGTCAAGGCATCATTTTAAAGGAATAGAACTGTCACTCTTCTGTAACTTTAAAGTCATTCATTCGGATGAGCTGCTGCTGAAGGGGGGGGGGGGCATGCTGCAGGACTTCCGCCCCGTGTAGCGGGTGTCTGCAGGATCAGTAAATGAAATCCAACATTCAATGTTCTGGGGAGGACGTCGTTTACCCTGTCTGCACTGTGCAGCTCCTTCAGCGACAGGCTGCTGCACCCCCGCTGTCTCACGGAGAGATACCGCAGGTCCTTCCTTCCTGCAGCGATCAGACTATGTGCTAACTGTGCAATATATACCTGGCTGCTAAATCCTCAGAACTTTAAAAAGAAAAACGTTAATACTTTTGTATGCATGCTTCTACGTAACATTAAGCTGCCTTTGGCTCTTTTCTGTTGTAACGACGTACATTTCCCCTCTGGAAAGTATCCTGATTGATTTGACCTGGGGGCACAACAACACGTTGTACATGATAGGCTAAGGGGCGGGACATCTCTAAGTGGTCGACCAATCACAACAGAGCCGGCCAGCTAACCATTCAGAGCAGACTGGGCTCTGGTTTCAGACAGAGGGTGAAAAGAGGCAGTATGACAACAATAAAGAGCTTTTTTAACATTAAAGCATGGAGACATGTCCCAGTGAAGACAACATACTAATACCAACCTGAACATGAACAGAATATGTCATCCTTGTTGTCCTCAGTCTCTTGTTGTAAATGTCTCTCTGGATCTGAGTTCCTGGCTGGTTCTGGTCCTCCACAGTCCTCTCCATCAGCTTCTGTTTCCAGGTGTTCAGCTGAGCTGCTGGCTGGAGGCTCTGCCTCTCTGTTCTCCTCAGTTTGAGTTTGATGAAGCTGTGAGGACTGACGACCAACACACTTGTGTCTTTTGACCTGGTAACTCCAGGTGAATCTTTTGTCACAAATACTGCAGCTGTATCGTTTCTCTCCTGTGTGGATTCTCGTGTGCCGATTTAAATCTCCTCTCTCTGCAAAAGATTTCTTACAGACTGAGCAGCTGAATGATTTCTCTCCTGCACTACGTGTTGAATCACTGACAGGGTTTTGTTTATTTTTTTGAGAGTTTGAACCTGGTTCTCTGGTCTCGTTCAAATCAGCCCTGTCTTCAGTGTCAGGTTCAGAAGAGTCTCCAGGGTTGTCTTCAGTCTCTGGTTGTAAATGTCTCTCTGGATCTGAGTTCCTGGCTGGTTCTGGTCCTCCACAGTCCTCTCCATCAGCTTCTGTGTCCAGGTGTTCAGCTGAGCTGCTGGCTGGAGGCTTTGCCTCTCTGTTCTCCTCAGTTTGAGTTTGATGAAGCTGTGAGGACTGACGACCAACACACTTATGTCTTTTGACCTGGTAACTCCAGGTGAATCTTTTGTCACAAACACTGCAGCTGTATGGTTTCTCTCCTGTGTGGTTTCTCATGTGTTTCTTTAAATATCCTCTATCTGCAAAATATTTCTTACAAATTGTGCAGATGAATGGTTTCTCTCCTGTGTGGATTCTCATGTGTACTTTTAGATTTGACTTTCTGCAAAATTCTTTCCCACACAAGGAGCAGCCAAATGTTTTATTTTCTGCACACTTATGGCTTTTGACCTGATGACTTTGGGTGAATCTTCTGTCACAAACACTGCAGCTGAATAGTTTCTCTCCTGTGTGGACTCTCATGTGCCGATTTAAATATCCTCTGTGTGTAAATGTTTTCTCACAAAAAGAGCAGCCAAATGGTTTCTCTCCTGCACTACGTCTTGAATCACTGACAGGGTTTTGTTTATTTCTCTGAGAGTTTGAACGTGGTTCTCTGGTCTCCTTCCAATCAGCACTGTCTTCAGTGTCTTCAGAAGAGTCTCCAGGGTTGTCCTCAGTCTCTGGTTGTAAATGTCTCTCTGGATCTGAGTTCCTGGCTGGTTCTGGTCCTCCACAGTCCTCTCCATCAGCTTCTGTTTCCAGGTGTTCAGTTTGTCTTTGATGAAGCTGAGAGGACTGAGGTTTCTCTTCATCATCTTCACTCTTCACAGGGACAGGAGTGAATGTGAACTTGATGATATCAGCCTCCTCCAGCCCTTGAAGCTGCTCTCCCTCCTGACTGATCCAGAGTTCCTCCTGCTCCTCTTTAATGTGTGGGGGGGGCTCTGGGTCCTCCTGGTCCAGACTGGAGCTCCACTCCTGCTGCTCAGGGGGAACCTCTTCTTTAACCACCACCAGCTGCTGGACGTCTGCAGGAAACAGGAAACACATATTCAGAGAAACTGTAGAGTATAAGAATTTAAAATCTAACCACGAGTAACACTTCATTAACTTTGCAGCCCTTATCCATTCCTTATTTTAAATGCTTGCCTATTGATTTGCTAAGTCCCGCCCACTCTGTGTTTCTGTTGGCTCGATTGTCTGTCAATTACACCTTTTTTCCAGATGCTCTGGAGAGCTTCAGGACAACAGGTGAGTTAGTACTGTAGCTGATCTAAATCATAGTAACAGTGCTTAGTTTGGACAGGGAGAGCGTGGGGACGAAGTTTCTACTTTTCTGTTTGCAGATATGAGTTTCTACATGTAGGTTTGAGTCATTCATGCTAATGTTAGTTAGCAGGGTTAGCTCTGTATTTACTGGCTGCATGAGATGTTGGTCTGTTTTTAGTGATTGTTTTAGACAGTTGGAGGGGCCTCCTATTATGGCACTGCTAGCTGTACCCTTCATTTAACACTTAGACCAGGGGTATTCAACTAAAATTCAACGAGGTCCAGTTAGAGAAAATGTCCCCATGCAAAGGTCCGGAACATCAAAATGTCTAACTTGCTTTATGAATTAGTGTGATATACAGGGTTCTTACACCTTTTCCAAAGTCAAATTCAAGCACTTTTCAAGGATTTTCAAGGTGCATTTTAAAGCTTTTCAAGCATCTTACAGCTGTTGTAAATTACATATTTATATACACATACTTATACTCAAATGATTATTTCCCTACCTCACATTAAATCAGATGTTCTTTATGCTATAAACAAGCAAATGTGTGTTTCATAATAGCATTCTACATGAGGATGAAAAATGTAAAATGTTAGAAAAGAAAACTAAGTTTAATATTTCAAAATGAGTGACCCATCTGTACGTAGACTGGGCATCCCATATAACCTGGCTGAGCCAATATAAAACAATCAGCCAAATAGCTTTTCAATACATTATTGATTACTATTTTTGAGGTACTTTTAGGTTGGCAGTAAACATAAGTCAGAGGTAAATGGTGTACTTTGACTCCACTACATGTATTTAATACCTTTAGTTACTTTACAGATGTGGATGAATGATGTGAAATCTAATCAAGTGTTAAATCAGACTTTAGTTCCACCTGGAGTAAATTCACAAGCTACTCTGTAGTATACAAAGTCATTCAAACTAGCTGCACCTTTACCAGCTTTGAGAACACTTTCATGATCAATCATTATAAAACATATCATATACAATTATTAGGGATGCTCCGATCGCCAATTTTGGGGCCGATCGCCGGAATCAGTATCGAACGATACCGATCGCCGATCCGATCGAGTGGGCGGGGCCTATGGGGATCTTCCATTTAAAGTGATGTTTAAAACTCAGTTAATGGGGCTCATTCACTGGCGCTTCCACAAACCAACCAACCAACCAACATAATTATTACATTCAAATGAAGTACATTATTCAAGTTTACATTCACTTGGGATAATAACACGGGAGAAATTAGCGGAAGCGCTCTCTTTTCCTCTCTCCCCCTCCCCTGACAGCCTGTCAGTATCTCATGCAGCTCACTGATCCAGTAATGAGCGACCCGACAGTGAAGAATAAATATATTTATAACTAGTTTAGCTTGTTCCAGAGGTAGATAAAATAGCTAAGTGTGTTAGGTCTAACTCTTAATGTGTGTTCTGCTCCGCTCACCGGTCCGTCACAGCGGGTGGAGCTGCAGGATTTCTGCTTCACACACACGTTGCATACCGCTATTTTATTGTCATTTTCGGACACTTAAAATACTGCCAGACTGGTGAAGCCATTTTGGCGAGCTTGTTTTGCCGCGCACAGAGAAAAGTGTAATGTATTTTACATGCAACGATAGCCTAATCTAAAATGCTCTACTACGGTGTACCTTTCGTGTGGTGTGTGGCTCGTCAGCGCAGACTCTCACATCGTTATTGTTGCACACTTTGCAGGAGGCTACTCTTGGGCTTCGCTTGACCCTCGTCTTAGCCATGGCTTGTATTTGTCTTCTGCTAGCCAACGCTCGTTGAAACGGCAACCTCCTGGCATACTGTCATCTATCACTCATCAGAATGCCCCGGTCAAACACGTAACAAAAACACTTGCCGGTCACGCGCATAGCGCGGGAAGGCCGGAGCGGAGCTGTTTTATGTAAAAGCGAAGCAATTAAGCGCGCTCCGACTTCTTTATTTTCTTTTAATCTAAAAAGCGAAGTAAAGCATTTACAATTTCAAGCACTTTATCCCAAATTCAAGCACCATTCCCAAAATTCAAGCACTTTTCAAACCTTGAAAACACCTCGTACAATTTCAAGCATTTTCAAGGATTTCCAGCACCCGTACGCACCCTGGATATATATTGAAGTAGCATGTAGCTTTATCAACGTCTGCATGTAATCAACAACTGACTGCCAATCAAATAAAGAAAGTACAATTCAAAAACAACAATATTTATTGTCAATTAACATTGAACTATAAAGATATACAGTAAATACTGTGGATGTGTGTAATGTTCCTCTCGGGCTGCATTTAAAAATAAAATAGAGAAATAAATAAAATAGCTTTGTTAACCGTTTCACATCATGACTTAACAGTTTCAGACGATTATAGAACTATATCAGTCTTTACACATCATAACAATTGAACAGTTTTAAAGTTTCTCTTTCTTTCCCTCTTATATTGCAGTCCCTCACTCACTTTGTTTTATTCAGTGCGAGAATTGAGCTTGAGCTTGTCCTGCCCGGAGTTTAAATCTGGGCTGAAATGGTGTCAGGGCCATTCTCATACACACATGCAGGTGCTCATTGGTTAGCCTCGGTTAGCCTCGGTTAGCCTCGGTTAGCCTGCCCTGGAACCATATTTAGTTTTAATTTTGATCCTGGTGGACTGATCATATTGGGCTCTGAGACTGCTTATTTTTTTGTGACCTCAGTTCTGACTTGAGAGGGAATGTTTGGTCAAACACTTTGTGTTTTGTCTCATAGTGGCGTTTTGGCACTTTTAATCAGGGTTGGGAGGGTTACTTTGTAAATGTAATCGGTTACTGAATACATGGCTCTGAAAGTAATCCGAATACAGTTAAGTTACGTGTCTTAAAAAAGTAACGCATTCAGATTACTTTTCGAATACTTTTGGAATACTTTCTTTTTCCATAACAGATGGGTATGTGTTGGTGAACAGGAGACACTTATTTTACTGTTTTAATGGCTTATCAAGAGCACAACTCAAACACAACATCTTGGTGTCATTCTGGACAGCTCCCTCTCATCTGCAGCCCACATCAAAAACATCAGCCGGACTGCATTATTTGTACTCTCTTAAACCTTTCCTTAGAATATGTTATGAATTGTCAGGTGTCCTTGGGTGCTTTGAAAGGCGCCCCTAAATAGAATGAATTACCATTATTATTTATTATCTGAAACGACGTAATAACTTTTAAAACTGTTTCCAGTCACTTGCCCCATGCATTCAGCAGCAGCAGGCCATTCACTTTGATTTGATCCCGTTATGAAATGTCATCATTTCGACAATAAAGAAATGCTACATAAACGTTATCTTGCACATTTTATCGAACCATCTCCCTTTCTAACTTTCAATATATTTTAAAAGAGATCTCTCTCTGATCTGCGTGCGGGGGCGGGGCCTCACAGACACGCTGCATCTCTCTCTCGCTCACAGACATGCTGCAGCGCTGTGCAGTGTGCACACAGTTCTGCTGGTAAGGAATATTACATTTTATGAGGAAACTTTTCCACCAATAATTCCAAAATGTATTCACTTCAGGTTTACGAAAGTAACTGTAATCAGATTACTCGTTTTTCAAATATAACGCGAGCTGAATACAGTTACTCTGCTTTTAATGAGCGCCACGGTCTCTGAACAAATGAGACACACTGGTTCTGTGCTCCCAGTGGGCAGGATGAACATGAATGAGTCCGTCCACTCAGGGTTAAAAGCTCTGTTCTCACTGTCCACTTTCCTCTTCTTAGAGAGCGCCATGTGTAATTATTTGTCTCTCCCTGTCTGCCGCTAACACGCCTGTTCACTCTCCTCTCCGTCTTCTCTCCCTGTATCGCTAATTATTCTCTTCACTCACTTTCCTCTCCTCTTCTCTCTGCCGCTCTCTCATCTCTTCTTCTGTGTTTCTCTCCCTGTATCGCTCAGTCGTCTCTTTCGCCCCCTGTCGGCGGCGGTTAAAATAGAATCGCCCCGTCAAAATTGAAATCCCCTATTAATGTATTGATTATAGGTCCGGGTCCGTATAGTTCGGCGTCTGGGTCCGGATCCGGACCGCGGTCCGCCTGTTGCCGACCCCTGACTTAGACAATAGGCAGGAGTTGTACTGTTGAGGAACCGGTGACCTACGTTTGCATGGCATAACTACACCGTAGTTGTGTATATGATATGACAATATCACCAAGGGGGGTCCTGTGTGGGTGGCAGCTCCTTCCCCAGCAGACCCAGTCCTCCAGAATTGTCCTAATCACAGAGTAAATGAGAAGAAAAAAATTAATTTATCTAATTATACACAGGGTGGCAAAATTATGATTGCAAAATGTATATAGCACTTTTCAGCACGTGGCGATTCAAAGTGCTTTACAGATTAAAAGCAAAAGACATTTAAGAACAAATACAGCATAAATATATTATTAAAAAGGCATTTAAAAACAGGCATAAAAAGCAATGATGAAAATGAAAATAAAATAAATAAATAAATACAGCTGGTACAGAATACATGACTAAAAAGGCATACTGTAGTGTGAATATGGGCAGCTCAATTAAAAGCAGCGGCAAATAGGTGCGTTTTTTAGTCATTACAGACAAAACCATATTTAAAATGACGTACTGTTTTAGTTTAAAAAAGAAAAGAGAAGTGACAGTCACAGCTAGCATCCCTTTGACAGCACTCCAAAAACTGAAATCAAGCAAAAGTCTTCTGTCCATTTCTGATGGTCTTATTATTATGGGATAAGGATACATATTTCCTGGATTATTCGAACCACGCTCCGAAGCCTCGGCACAGTACTTAAAGGTAGGGTAGGTAAGAATGGAGAAACCAGCTCGAGTGCGCTAGAATTTGAAAGAACACAACCGAAAGAAATCTGCCCCTTCCTTCAGACTTCCTCACAGAGCCCCTCCTCCAACACAAACGAACGCGCAAATGACCAATGAATTACCTACCCCACCTTTAACATCACTATAGATTATGTTCCAAACCACATCAAGCATTATTTACATGGGGACGATTTTATATTGACTATGACCGTTAATATTCCAGTGAGACGAAGTTTGTCCGGTGACGGGAGTGATCCCATGTTAATTTTGTCCAAAAACCAGAGCATTCCCTCATCCAATGTGGAAGCAGAATGTGTGAAAGCATACAGCACGATGCGGTGTGTGTCTCTAGACATCTTTAGACTGGAATAGCGGGGCCCAGTATGTGAACTCGCCTCGCAGCCGGTGCACATGCCAGGATAGAGGACATCAGACTCCATAGAAAACTTGCTCGTGTCCGAGTCCGAGTCCAAGTCGGAGCGTCAATGTACAAGTCGAGTCCGAGTCATCGTGGGGGGAAAAATTCACGAGTCCGAGTCCAAGTCAGCGTACACGATAATTCACGAGTCCGAGTCCGAGTCCAAGTCATCGTGCGCGAGAATTCACGAGTCCAAGTCCGAGTCGCGTCAATCAGTGCGCGAGTCCGAGTCGAGTCACGAGTCCCGAAAATCGGCACTCGAGTCCGAGTCCAGGACTCGAGTACTCCATCTCTGGCACAAGGTGAGTTCCTTTAATATCCGGCTTCTTCACACATACTCCCTCCAGTACAGCGTTAGCTCTCAGTGTTAGCGATGCTTGCTAATGTAATCAGACCATATTACTCCCAAAACACGTTGCGCATTATTCTGATACAGCGATGTTTCTGATAGGTTGGGGCGGAACGTTTATTCAGTGTTTACCACTAGAACAGTGCCATTGTATTTATTAGTATTGTCACGATACCAACATTTTAGTTTCGATACCAAGTCAAGAATTGCGATTTCTTAAAAAAGGGAAACTGTCTTAAATGTAATTATTGTGCTTTATTTCAAACCTGGAAAAATGTTTCAGTCATAACACAAACCTTTGAACAATGAGAATAATAAATAAAATAAATTAAAGCAATGGCATTCAAGGTAAAATGACAAGTGCTATGATATGAGGGTCATGCCGAGTCAGATCGCTATCTCTTTAAGAGAGAGAGAGAGGTGTGTGTGTGTGTGTGTGTGTGTGTGTGGCCTGCCTTCTCTGACCCTTACCTGCATCACTATCCCTTAAGCCTTTGTACCACCATGTTGTTTATTAAATCATTGAACTGCATCAATCTCTCCTGACAGCCCGCTAGTTATAGTAGATTAACTACATTATTCAAAAGTGTACAGTAACTTATAACACGGGAATATTAAACGGAGCGCTCTCTCTCTCCTGACAGCCCGTCAGTATCATGCAGCTCGCGGATCAGTAATGAGTGACCCGACAGTAAAATTAAACATATCAATATCTAGTTTAGGTAGTTTGAGAGGTCATTAAAATAGCTACGTGATATTCTAACCTGAAGTGTGTGTTCAGCTCGCCGCTGCAGGTGATCATGCAGAGCTGCGTGTCGACTCGTCAGCAGCAGCTGATCTCTCGCTCCCGTCAGATTAGACTTTACTCGCGTTTATGTCCATATCGATCAGATCCAGCTAGTTCTAGCTAATGATATGACTACCTGCTTATTAAAAGACACCTAAACAATAAGCGTCGCTATGCAACCGGGTGAGGCCACAAAGTATAGCGCAGCATTATGCATTTGTTTACATGCCCACCGGAACCCCGAGGCATTACCAACAGATCAACGCACAATCAACCCATACAGGACATCTCTTTCTCCACATTCAGTGTTAGACATTAGAATTGATTATTCTTGTCTGTCACGTACTCTTCTTGTCTGTCACGTACTCTTCTTGTCTGTCACATAAGTGGCGCAACTGATGCGGTATTGCGCTAAAGGGAAATTATTTTGACCGGAAATTTTGACCGGAGAGATTTAGATTTGCCGGGCTTCAGCATATTTTACCGGTCATTGACGGGATTTACCGGCTAACGGGAACTCTGACACACACACACACACACACACACACACACACACACACACACACACACACACACACACACACACACACACACACACACACACACACACACACACACACACACACACACACACACACACACACACACACACACACACACACACACACACACACACACACACACACACACACACACACACACACACACACACACACACACACACTATGAAGGAATCTATTAAGTTAGCTGTGAACGTAGTGCAAATAACCAGAATGTCTTGTGGAGTGAGGGGGTTATATAATTCTGATAGCAACGAGCAATATTAATTTATCATGTGTTTTGGCAGGCATCGAACCAAAGGAAGAGGGCAGCAGTGTTGCAGGGCCTACCATGGTACATGAGGGAGAATCCTTCAACTATCATGAAGATGTGTGAGGTAAGCGCTGAAATGTCGTTCAAGATGATACAAAAACGAGTTCACAATGAACAGGGTTACACTAGTCGTTTCAGGGGTCGTCTGTGTATGCACATATGGCAAAGCATCTCTAAAGCACTTTCGTTGTTGTTTTTTGTTTCTTTTTGCATGAAGCCAACGGATCCTGAAGAGGACGTCATCAAGGGAATGGTGATTGGAATCCTTTCAGTCGTTGAAGATGTGAAGGAACCTCTTCCAGCTTCCTACAACGATGTCGCCCTCGTGATCGAGGAAAGGATAGTCATACGTCACCTTGGTGATGTACCCAATGCTTTTGTGAACCTGATGGGATTGCAGTACATGCTGAACCTTGACTATCCAAAAGACTTGAAATACACCTTTGAGGTGATTCAGCGCCTGTTCATGGGAATTGGGTTCACTCTCTAAAGAATAAATTGCTCAGTTAGAGAGATGGCCTAGGAAGATGTCTCTGCATCTGTCCCAAAGGATGCATTTTAATTTGTTGTCATTTGTCCACTGTTCTAAGAGGAAAATAAATGTATAGCCCCTCTGTGGGTCACACCAGTTTATTTTGTTTTCATTTTCTATTGCTCTATTTTGAGGAAGTGTCTGAGAGACACTAGTGTGTATTTTATGTTGTACAGCAACCATGAACAGAGTGGATATTTCAGTACTGTTCGAATGTTTTAATTTTCTGACTGACAGTTAAGTTTCTCAGTTTCTGGCCGCTTGTCAATGTCGAGTACACATGCTGCAGAGCCACTATTTCAAGTATACTACGTCATAGAGTGGCGCAGAATGCTGGGCATTTAACATGCATTTAAACAGTCCTTCGGCGCCACTCAATGACGTAGTATACTTGAAATAGTGGCTCTGCAGCATGTGTACTCGACATTGAGAAACGGCCAGAGAGATGGCCTAGGAAGATGCCTCTGCATCTGTCCCAAAGGATGCATTTTCATTTTTTTGTCATTTGTCCACTGTTCTAAGACGAAAAGAAATGACTCTGCGGGTCACACCAGTTTATTTTCATTTTCTATTGCTCCATTTTGAGGAAGTGTCTGAGAGACACTAGTGTGCATTTTATGTTGTACAGCAACCATGAACAGAGTGGATATTTCAGTACTGTTAGAATGTTTTAATTTTCTGACCGACAGTTAAGTTAAGAGAGATACCATTTTCTATGTATGTTTTACTGCATTTTACTGCAGCAACCCTGAACACTTACTCCTCAGAATGGACTCTGTTTAACAAGTCACTCAATTACAGTTTTATCCATGGGACAGTGTAATTTCAGTTTTTGAGCAGCCCAGAGCAAAAACAATGGTGTGTTAGAGGGTGTTTTTTGTTTGGTCTACATGTCCCAAGGAAGGTCTTTATGATATGTTGACATCCATTGACACACTTATTTGAATTAAAAAGCAACACTGAACAGTTAATGAGTGTGTGGGTTAGAGTTCTTCATTTCTTCAGTTATTGATATTGTAATAACAGTCCTGAATGAAATGTCTTTTCAGCTATTTTTTCATGTGTTAATATAGTTTAGACTAAGCTAGTTCTCATGTTGATTTATAGTATAACTTTGTAGCTATTAGTTTGCTTGTCCTGGTAAGCTAACTTGGTACTAGAAGTTGAACAAACAGTTGTACATGTTGAGTCAACTTGATTAACACATTTTTAAGAACTCAATAAAATAAGTTAAACCAACATCTTCTTAAGTTATCCTAACTAATATTTTCTAGTCCAAATAACTTGACACATGAAGTTGTGTCAACAGACTACAAGTTGTATCAACTAATGTATTGAAGTGTAATAGACTTGACACTAAATGTTGAATCAACTTGACACAACTTAACTCAGTCAAAGCAACAAGATGACTTGACTTAGTAGTGTATATTGGTTAAGGAGGGTTTCCTTGTTTTGCTCATTGACT